CCCAGGGGGACAGCTTGAGGCTCTGTCTCAAAAAAAAAAAAAAAAGAATGTTCAGATGCATGGTAACTATTTTCTCCTTGCCTGGTAAATTTAATTGTGTAAGTCTGACAACTAAATGATGACAGAGGGGCATAAGACTAGAATTTAAAACTTAGTTTTGGTGAAGTTTAGTCATCTATTATCTGCGTCTGACAACTTAAAATGTGCTATTGAAAGAACCTCAGAGTGGGTTTTCACAGTAACTTTGTTGTTATAGCTCTTTTTATGAAAGTTTTTAAAAAGAGACCCTTCCAGCCAGAGCCAGAGTAAGACCTCGTCTCTAAAAATAGGCATGCGTTGTGGCAGGCACCTGTAGTCCCAGCTACCTGGGAGGGTGAGGCAAGAGAATCACTTGAGCCCAAGAGTTTGAGGTTGCTGTAGCTGTGATCTACTGAGGCCGACAAAGTAAGACTCAGTCTCCAAAACAAAAAATTTTCGCTTGAGCCTGAGTTTGAGGTTGCTGTGAGCTATGACACTACAGCACTCTACCGAGTATGACAAAGTAAGACTGTCAATTAAAAAAAGAAATTAATAAAAATAAAAGCAGACCCTTAAAATGGAGTAACTATGATGATGCCATCCTCGACTCTTTTTTCTCTCTCCTGAATGTTGTAAAAGTCTCCTAATAGTCCTTCTGCTTCTGTCCTTGCCCCCGCCCCCCCCCCAGCGGTATATTCTCAACATAGTAGCCAGAGTGAACCAGTGAAAATCATAAGTTACGTTACTCCTCTACTTAAAATTTACCAATGTCATTGTCTTCTTCCTCTTCTTTTTAATTTTATTTCATTTTATTTATTTATTTATTATTATTATTATTATTATTATTTTGGTCTCACTCTGTATTCTGGGCTATAGTGCAGTGGCCTTATCACAGTTCACTGAAACCTCAAACTCCTGGCTAATTTTTCTATTTTTGTAGAGATGGGGTGCTATTATGTTACTCAGGCTGGTTTTGAACTCCTGGTCTCAAGTAATCCTCCAACCTCCGCCTCTCTTGGCTAGGATTACAGGCTTGAGCTACCATATTCAGCCTCTTCTTCTTTCAGAGTAAAAATAAACATCCTTGTATGATCTGCAAGGCCTTTATGATCTGACTCTAACCTTATTTTCTATTAAGTGTCTCTCTTCTAGTCATCCTGGCCTCCTTGCTGTTCCTCAAACACTTGGGACAAACTTCTGTCTCAGAGCTTTTGCACTTACTATTGCCTCTCTCTGGACTGCTCTTCTCCCAGATCTTTGCATTACCAGCCTTCTTACTTGGTTTATGATTTTTCTTAAAAGTCACATTCTCAGTGAGACTTTCTGGGGCTTCTCTTGGGGGGCCTAACCCAGCCATACATGAACCCTATTTTCTCCTTCTCCCCCTTCCACTTCTACATCCCCTCTCCTCCTAAGACAAAGATACAAAGGACCTATTTAGCTTCACCCTTGAACTTCCAACCAAAGGACCTAACTCATCAAAGACCTCTGGGCAAGGTGTGAAATTCTCCCATCAGCTACGATCCCATATTAAAAGGGTTTCCAACTGCCCTCACCCCCAGACACACATGCCACCTTGTACTGCCCAGGCAGGTCATCCTTCCCTTTTTTTTTTATTTTTTTGAGACAGACTCTTAAGCTGTTGCCCTGGGTCGAGTGCAGTGGTGTCACAGCTCACAGCAACCTCCAACTCTTGGGCTTAAGTGATACTCTTGCTTCAGCCTCCCATGTAGTTGGGATTACAAACACCCGCCACAGTGCCTGGCTATTTTTTGGTTGTAGTTGTCATTGTTTGGCAGGCCTGGGCTGGATTTGAACCTGCCAGCTCTAATGTATGTGGCTGGCGCCTTAGCTGCTTGAGCTACAGGCACCGAGCCCCCCTTTCCCTTTCCATAAACCTGGCCTGCACATCTCCACTCCAGTCTCATTTCTGGGCTCCACCTCTAAACACCTTTCAGCTTTCTTACCTTAAAAGTCACCCATAGCCAACATTTAACATTACCCCTCTCTTGCTTTATTTTCTTTCTCTTTAGCTTTATTCATTATCTAGGAACCCATATGTTTTATTTATTTATTTAGTGTCTTTATTCCTTCGTGAAACCGTAAACTCCATCAGGACAGGAATTTTATCTATGTTGTTCATCACTAAATCCTTGATGCCTGGAACATAATAGGGGTATAATAAATGCCTGTTGTGTAAATGAATCTCTAAATTGTAGAATTTAATAAAGAGCTTGGTTATGGGGAGTCTTGCTTCTGAGTCATACTATAAAACAAGCTTCTTATTAATTGTTAGCTATTGTTCTAACTTAGAGGTTTTTTATTTTTTATTTTTTCCTTACAGAATAGTTATTTCTTCAACAGATGTATGCCATAGCAGAAGCTGGCTAAGATTGTCCTGGAACTTCAGCCTTCCCAACATCAAAGATACAGTAAAACTTTGGACAAATAGAGTATGGTCTATATACACCTGGTGCCAGAACTGCATAGCCCAGGTATAGATTTGGCATACCTGTTCTCAGGAATAATACAGTTTTTCTACATACTTCATGTTTGTATTTATGTACAACTTGTACTCAAGTCAGGATAAGACTTAGGCTAAATTTAGATAAAATGAAATTATGGGGTCCTGTCTGCCTTTGCTTCTAGAAAGCATACATCAAATGTGGGGGAAAAAAACAATAACCAAAAGATAAATCAGACCACTTCATGGTTTTTTTTTTCTTTATCATATTGCTCATAGAATTTGGGTTTTTTGTTTTGTTTTCTTTTGTTTTTGAAAGTTTGTTTACATCTTTTTTTTATTAAATCATAGCTGTGTATATTAATGCAATCATGGGGTAAGAATTTGGTTTTTTTTATTTATGAATTTCAGAGTTTAGAAGGATTGAAAGATACCATCTTTCCATCTCGTATCTGCCACCGAGAACTTCACAGTCTCAAGCAACAGTTTTCCATTTTGGAAAATAAATTATGCAAGCTCCAGGAAACACTGAAGGTTGGTATTGTCAAATAAAAAATCTGGAATTAGGTGAAGATAGACTTTATTTGAAAAGACAATTGCAATAGGGAAAATGTTCTGATCATTAAGATTTATAAACATCAGATAGAAAGAGCTTTTCTTTTATAACAAAGAATAAGCAAGGCTAGAAGGAACCATGTGTGTGGAAGTGGGATGAACAGATGCCATGATCTGACCAGACGGTTGATCTGACTAGGGAATGGTCTTTTCCTGAAGTCAGCCAATTCTTGGGAGGAGAGGTTGTTTAGCATTCCAGTGCTTGCTTAAGCCCAAGGTAGGTCACAATCCCAGGGCCCGTGGTGAAGGCTAGCCTGAGCAAGGTTTGGCCAAATCAAGTTAGCAAATATTTTATCCAGATTGGCCAATGACAATAAAATCCAAACCGTTCCCTATGTTGTTTGTTTTGAGTGCTTTTGTGTTTGTTTATCATCCTGTCATCTCTCACCAGGCCATCAACTCCATGAGGTGACAGGCAGGACTGACATTGTACCCACAATGCTTAGCATACAGCCCATACAAAACACATGAATGAATGATACATGAAAGAACTGGTGATAATTAAATGAGAAAATATTATGCAGTACATGGTACAGTAAGAAAGCATTCAATATATGGCAGCTATGATTTTGATGACTTTCAGTTGCAAGAACCAAGTTAATTTGCCAAATGTATTAATTGATTTGCCAAATATAATGTCTTTTTCTAGGCCATCTCAGAAAAATCTTCTCCAAGCTGTGGTCAAATGTGTCACATGAATAGTAAAATTACAGCTGTGCCCACTGGTGTTCTAACCACCCCTGGAGAATGTGGAGCTGAAATTGTACCTCCTCCCACACTGCCACAGACAGCCAACCATCTTCCTCCTCCTCCACTTCCACCTCCACCTCCACCTCCTCCCCTGCCTCCTCCTCCACCACCACTAGCACCTTTGCTGCTCAGAAAATCCAATCTCCCTAAAGCACTTCAGGTATGAAAGAATGTAGTAATGGTGTGTTTTGGTCAATGTATAATATAGGAATAATGCAAAGTGGCCTTTTAAGACTGGTCTAAAGGCATGGACTGGAAGACTATATTTTGTTCCAATTCCTATCTGAATTATGTCAATTATCATGTTTTTAAAATGCCAGTCTGGGCTGGGCGTGGTGACTCATGCCTGTCATCCTAGCAATCTGGGAGGCTGAGGCAAGTGGATTGCATGAGTTCGCAGGCCCTAGACCAACCTGAGCAAGAGTAAGACCCCATCTCTACTAAAAATAGAAAACTGAGACAGGAGGATCGCTTGAGCCCAAGAGTTGGAGGTTGCTTTGAGTTAATACGACGCCATGGTACTCTACCTAGGGCAACAGATAAAGACTCTGTCTCAAAAAATGTATATATATGAATGTGATACATATGAAACCCTGTAGAGTAGGGAGCAGTGGCTCAGGCCTGTATGTAATCCTAGCACCTTGGGAAGCCAAGATGGGCAGATTGCTTGAGCTCAGGAGTTCAAGACCAGCCTGAGCAAGAGCAAGACCCTGGGCTGGGCATGGTGGCTCATGCCTGTAATCCTAGCCCTCTGGGAGGCTGAGGCAGATGGATTGCCTAAGATCAGTGGTTTGAGACCAGCCTAAGCCAGAGTGAGATCCTGTCTCTAAAAATAGCTGGGCATTGGGGCATGCGCCTGTAGTCCCAGTTACCTGGGAGGCTGAGGCAAGATGATCACTTAAGCCCCAGAGTTTGAGGTTGCTGTGAGCTGTGATGGCACAGCACTCTACCCAGGGCTACAAATAAATAAAAAAATAGGCTCGGCGCCTGTGGCTCAAGTGACTAAGGTGCCAGCCACATACACCTAAGGTGGTGGGTTTGAATCCAGCCCGGGCCTGCCAAACAACAATCATGGCTGCAACCAAAAAATAGCCAGGCATTGTGGTGGGCACCTGTGGTCCCAGCTACTTGAGAGGCAGAGGCAGGAGACTCGCTTGAGCCCAGGAGTTGGAGGTTGCTGGGAGCTATGATGCCACGTCACTACCCAGGGGAACAGCCTGAAGCTCTGTCTCAAAATAAATAAATAAATTAATTAATTAAATAGCAAGACCTCATCTCTAAAAATAGCCAGGCACTGTGGTGGGCACCTATAGTCCCAGCTACTTGGGAGGCTGAAGCCAGATAATCACTTGAGCCCAGGAGTTTGAGATTGCCTTGAGCTATGATGTCACAGCACTCTCGAGGGCAACATAGTGAGACTGTCTCAAAAAACCCAAGATTTCCTTATTGGCTTCTCAGCATATCTTTTCACCAAAAGGAAAATCTCCCTAGGAAACCAAATTAAAAACAGAAGATTGCTTAGTGAGTGAAATCAAAACTAAAAAGAGTTGATAGATTGTCAAGTGAGTTTTTTAATTTGTTTTTTGTTTTTTCATTTCTTTTTTTGAGACAGTCTTACTATGTCACCCTTGGTAGAGTGCCATCGCGTCATAGCTCACACCAACCTCAAACTCTTGGGCTTAAGTGATTCTCTTGCCTCAGCCTCCCAAGTAGCTGGGACTACAGGTGCCCACCATAACACCTGGCTATTTTTTGTTGTTGTTGTCATTGTTGTTTAGCAGGCCCAGGCCAGGTTCAAACCCATCAACCCTGGTGCATGTGGCTGGTGCCCTAACCAGTGAGCTATGGGCGCCAAGCCATTGTTTTCTTGAGACAGTCTCACTTAGTCACTCTGGGATTGACTGCTATGGTGTAACTCACAGCAACTCAATCTCTTGGCCTTAAGAGATCTTGTCTCAACCTCCCCAGTAGCTGTAGCTGTGACTACAGGTGCCTGGAACAATGCCTGACTAGTTTTTCTACTTTTAGTAACAACAGGGTCTCCCTTTGGTCAAGCTGGTCTCCAGCTTCTGATCTCAGGTGATCCACCTGCCAGGGGCTCCCAGAATGCTAGGATTACAGGTGTGAACCACTACCACCAGGCCTGGATTCTAAAGTTTAATGTCATTAGACTGGAGAACCAATTCTCCATGCAGTTACTTATCTGCCAAAAGGACTAGAATATTTGTGAATTTCTAGGAGAGTCATGACCCTGTTTTAAAACCTGTTGAATTTTCACCACAGATACATTTGGTTTAAAACAGCTGAGTTAGGGCCAGGTGTCGTGGCTCATGCCTCTAATCCTAGCACTCTGAGAGGACGAGGTGGGCAGATCGCTTGAGCTCCTGAGTTTAAGACCAGCCCCAGCAAGAGTGAGACCCCATGTCTTCTAAAAATAGAAAAACTAGCCAGGTGTTGTGGCAGGCACCTGTAGTCCCAGCTACTCAGGAGGCTGAGCTAAGAGGATTACTTGAGCCCAAGAGTTTAAGGTTGCTATGAGCTATGATGCCACTGCACTCTACCCAGGGTGAAAGAGTAAGACTCTGTCTCCAAAAAAAAAAAAAAAAAGAAGCAGCTAGTTAAATCCAGAGCCTTTTATACTTGTTGGAATATATACCTCTCTGACTATACATTCCTACTCTGAGAACTGAATCATCTTTTCTAGGCACTTGATGCAAAACTTCACTTCGATCTGAGTAACTCCTTTAGCTCCTGTCTTATTATAATGACTCCAGGAGAGGATGCATTCAGGGAACTAGCCCACCTCTTACTTACTATCAAAAAGCCTTACATGTCGGCTCAGCACCTGTGGCTCAAGTGGCTAAGGTGCCAGCCGCATACACCTAAGGTGGTGGGTTTGAATCCAGCCTAGGCCCGCCAAACAACAATGACGGCTGCAACCAAAAAAATAGCCGGGCGTTGTGGTGGGCGCCTGTGGTCCCAGCTACTTGGGAGGTGGAGACAGGAGACTCGCTTGAGCCCAGGAGTTGGAGGTTGCTGTGAGCTGTGATGCCATGGCACTCTACCCAGGGGGACAGCTTGAGGCTCTGTCTCAAAAAAAAAAAAAAACCCTTACATGTTGATGAATACTTTTCTATAGCCTTAGCATCCATGCATCCTGAAAATTAGATCATTAAGTGAGTGGAAATAATTTGACAGCTTCCTAGGGTAAATAGGAGTTAACTCTTAACTTTGAGCCTTTTAAAACTAGATTTTAGTTTGCATTTCACCAGTTGTCCCCATTCCAATTTGAATTCTAACTTGTCCATGTATTTCCAGACTAGACCATTACAAAAAGATGGACCCATGCAGATAACGGTTAAGGATCTACTGACTGTGAAATTAAAGAAGACCCAGAGTTTTGATGAAAGGAGGAAGGTAAGATATAATTTTCCATATCCATATTCTTTCTGCTTTTAACCTGGTTGTCCCTTTATGGAAAATAAGCATAAACCTTATGTACAGAAGTCATTCCAAGTTAAGTACTTGATGTTTTATTTTAGTAGTTTTGGATCACCTCAACAAAATGTGTTAAATCCCAAAATTATTTGATTAGTCAGTTTTATCTCCCAACCGTTAGTCTGCATAGGTAGAGACATCCTTTGAAGTTTGGGAATAAAACTTGGATAGAGAAGTAAATATGTCCTACACAGACTTAGGACTTGGATATTTGGTATTTGGGGATGTATATACTTTAAAATGTGTTTTTAATAATGTCTCGTTTTATTAATTAAAGCTTGTACCATCACCAAAGGCACAGAATCCACTGGTTACTGTCTCTGATCTGCAGCGTGTTACCCTCAAACCAAACTCCAAAGTGTTATCGACTCGAGTTACAAATGTCTTAATGTAAGGAACTGCACAGCACTATGCTTTGCTACTACTTCAAAGAATGATTTTTTGGCTTATTTCTAACTTTGAAAGTTATATAGACATATATACTCATCCAAAAATTGAAATTACAGAAAAGTTTAGAGAAGAAAATAATCATGTAAATAATCATACCATTAGAGATAGCTAATGTATTATTATTGTAGGCTTTTTCTGGGTATGTACTCTGTTGTTTCTATTTCAGGATCCTGGGGGTTTTTTTGTTTTGTTTTGTTTTTAAAAGATCCTATTTTATACCTTTGATTTAATAACAGATTTTTTTTTTTTTTTTTTTTTGTGAGACAGAGTCTCACTCAGCCACCCTGGGTAGAGTGCCATGGCATCATATAGTTCACAGAGACCTCAAACTCTTGGGCTCAAGCCATCCTCTTGCCTCAGCCTCCCAAGTAGCTGTGACTATAGACACCAGCTATAATGCTTGGCTATTTTTAGAGATAGGGTCTTGCTCTTGCCCAGGCTGGTCTTGAACTCATGCGCTCAAGAAATCCACCCAAACTCGGCTTCCCAGAATGCTCAGATTACAGGTGTGAGCCACCCAGCCTGGCCTTAATAGCAGATCTTGGGAGAAAAGAAATATTATCAATAATTTTTTTTAAATAGCCTGATTTCAGAAAGAATAAAATATGAAAATGAGTAAATGTTGGAATGAAGGAAATGCAGGATGTTGGGTGGGTGCAGTGTCTGGAGCCTATAATCATAGCACTTTTAGAGGCTGAGGTGGGAGGATTTGCTTGAGCCCATGAGTTCAAAACCAGCTTGAGGGTGGTGCTTGTGGTTCAGTGGGTAAGGTGCTGGCCACATATACCAAGTGTGGCGGGTTCAAACCCGGCCCCTGCTAAACTGCAACAGAAAAATAGGCAGGCACTGTGGCGGG